CGTTTGAGAACAAGCTTCAGATTTAATTAGGACTGCTTTAGAAACTAAGTCCAAGTCTTCAGGAAGAGCAAGTATACCTTTCCCTCATGAATGAGGAGCCTTAGCCCAAAAGCCTTTTTTCTATAACCTTGGGAATAGAAGGGACTAGATAAAACGTATTTGCATAACATCTTAAGATGCATGTAATATCTTCAACTTGCTGTCTGTGACACAGCTTAACACAGGAATGGCACTTCGCAGAAATAAGAGCCCAAATCACAGTTAAATTCAGCGTTAGTGGTACAACTTTAGTTTAGCTTTTAATGTTTCTAACATGATGGTGTTCTGAAATCTTGGGTGATATTTCACATACAGTTTAAAGCAGAGAGCCATTTAGTATTTTTCTTTTTTTAAATAGCCCAAAGCCTGCCAAAACAAGGCAATATTTTCCATTGAAAATATTATACAGGAATGATAGGGAATCAGCTTGGGTGGGGTGGAGTGAGTGAGTGAGTGAGTGGAGTGTTATCTCACTTAGTATCAGGGCTTTCATAGTTGTTAAAGTTACTAACCATTAGGGTATGAGAGAGAAATGAATGGTCTTCAGAGTAGTGCAACTTTTCTGAGAGGATGCTTTGTTAGGGAAAGCAGAAGTTGTTATAGATTTGTCAAGATTGAAAAAGGTTTAGTCTTTGGCATGGGATCAGCTGTGCCAAGATGTGTTCTAGTACAGTTGATCTGTCAGGTACATCTCTCTCCTGGGGCTCCAGGGTCCCATTTCTGTGGGACAACGTGGGGCATATGCCTGCAGGTGGAAAACTCCCCCTTAGGGTCCACAACCAAGGGAACCCTACAGGCCAGACGATGTAGCCCTGGATGCTAGATTGCGCTAGGGTGCAATGGGGTTGGGCCATACACGGCCGGAAGGTTGAGCATCACTGTAGTAGATGATCTTTACCAAACCTTATAGTTTTCTGAGCTGTTAAAACTTTTGTGTCCTGAGTCTTTTTAGTTTGCTCCATAACATCTGGGCAAAACAAGGCAATTTTTTTCATACTTCTTACAATTCTGAAGATGAATCAAGCAGATTAAAAAGAGGCTGAAAAACAAGAGAAAAGGCTCCTGCATAAGAGTGTAGGTGCAGCTGAGGGATGACATAAAAGTGGTGTTAGTTCTTGTTTGGGATAGCTAGATTAATTTCCAGTGGTGCACTCACAGGTGAATTAGGCAGGCTATCCATCAGGACAGTGACTTTTAGTGTTTGTATAAAAGAAATTGATATGTGCTAAGATATTGTAGGAAGATTTTAGAATTAAAATCTTCATGGTACTTTTTGTGTCCCTCCACGTGAAAAAGTGATAATGACTGAGTCTATGCAGGCCTTAGAGAGAATAAAGTATGTTTTAGAAATCCTTCAAAATGTGGTGCAGAAAACAGTCTAACCCAGGGGTTTACAATTTACAATGGACTGGATCCAGACCATAAATGTCCAATCTAGCACAGGAAATTGGATTGCACAGACCTGCATCTACAGTGCTCTCCTCTGCTGCAGAGCCTGTTGCTCTGCCATGTCTGCACTTGCTCTCACTGAAGATCAGGTGGGGATGAGTGGCAAGGGTAAGTGCAGGCAGCTGGGCTGGAGGCTTGCAACCCTTAATAGGTCATAAAGGGTAGCCCAGGCTAGCACAAAGTTGCTGACCCCTGATCTAAGAGGTCATTTTGCTTTAGAGCAGGTTTGAGGAAATGCTGTGTGGTGAGCTATTTTGCTTTTTAAATCAAGTTTGAAAGCTGTTGCCATGTTTGCAATGGTGGTGGTAGTCTTGACTAGCTGGATTGGTTAACGTAGTTTAAGCTAAGGTGTTCAAAGGTACCTAAGGAGTACAGTTCCTCAGTTTTCCACAGTTTCATATGGATGTTCCCCGTATGTGGTACTTGCATTATCAAATTGCATAACTTTGAAATATAACGCATGCTTGTGATTATGAAACATGCCTGTTTCTGATCTTTTTTTTTTTTCAAAATCATTTACAGAGTTCAAACTTGTGCTTTGCTTCAGTGGAACACTATACCCCTTCAGATTTGATTTTCTTAAGATGAAGTGATTGTGTGGTCAATGCTTAATTGGAAGTAATTCTTCTCATACAACACAGCTATTTTATAACAGCTGTCATCAGATTTTAATTTTAATTTTGCATACCTTTTCAGTACTTGTTAACTTGAAATATTCATGAATACAGACTAACTGTGCCTTAGGAAGAAACTGGATTTTATATCAAATGAAAAACTTAATGTGCACCCACCTGGTATATATTTAGGATTCTTTTAACCAGCACAATAGCCTACACACTGCACAAGAGCTCACATTGCTCTTCTTGGAAAAATTAAATGCTGCATATGTATGCATCATATAAACTCTCCAGTTAGTTTCTGCTTTACTAAGGGTGGTCACCATTTTTATATAATTCCGAGTTTCCTTCTAGATTTAGGTGAAAGACCAAATTAATAATTAAAATAATATATTAAGATAAGATTGATATAATACAAGTTGATTTAATTAACTTTTAAAATTGAATTCCTAATCTGTAAATATCTGAATTTTGTGTGTGGCTAGGGGAAAGGGGTAGATAAAGGATATCAGATTTATTTTGTAAATCTTATGAATCAGTAAGACCTTCAAAATAAATCTGAGACCCTTTCAAAATGAAACAAAACCAGATAGTCAGATTTTCTCAAGTGTTACCTATTCCTGTTGAAGTCAATGAGTACAGCAGATGTTCAGCATGTTTGTTAAATTTTATTACCATATCTGTATCTGTGTACTGAAGTGTTTTGGGGTTTTTGAAGGGCGGGAAGGGGGTGGTGTCACAGGAAGGAACCAGTCTAGAAAATCTGTTTTTCAGTACCTCAAAACTTTATTGCAAAATTTTTTTAAATACCCATTTAAAAGGATAGAGTTTGTAAGCAATTTGACAGGGGAACTGCACTGTAATTTTTAATTAAATTTGGAATTATTTATAGTGAACAGGAATTTCATAATCTGCAAGAGCTCTAACTTTGGGTGTGATGTAGCAAGAATACCACATACAACTTTTCTGGGTTTTTTTCCTGTTTGTATTATAAGCTTACTTGATATTTTTAAATGTTTTAATTCAACCCTCAAATAATCATTCTCTTGCAAATGGAAGTTTGACAATAAAAAGCTTGTACAGATATAGGAGACTGTGTCTTTTTTTGAACTTACCCATTTGGTATAATCAGAGTAACTTTCTCCTGAAGTAATTCTGAGAATTGTAGTATTTTGGGGTTTTCTGAAGTGGGTATTCTTAGAATCATGGATGTTTCTGAAAATTACAATTTGGAAGTTATGATATAGGCCACTCAGTATGCTTTGTGTTTACTGAATAATAGAAAAACACTTCCTTAGAGTGAGTTTCCTGTATTACAGTACAGAGAATAAGGTAGTGGTGGGGAACTCCTGTTGTTTGAATCAACTGCTCTGGAAAACATATCCCAAGATGCATGATTTAGCCAAGGGCTAAATGATAAGGAAAGGTAAGGTCAAGGGCTAAACCATACCTTTTGGAATATATTTTCCAGAGCAGTTGTCATCTGGTGAACTTGGAGTGTTATATGCATGGAGGAGACATGCTGTGCTTCACTGCCCTGCTTCCTCATGCAGTCCTTTGGTGTTGACATTCCCCAAGGGTTTGTTTTTTCACTACCTGTAGTTCCAGCTTTTGCCAGTTCATTCTGCAAGTACCTCTGAAATCAGATTTTGGGTATTTGAAGTTAGATACCAAAAAATAAGGATGTTTCTTGGTATGTTGGCCTTCCCTTTCCTTATCATTAACACTAATACATCCCTAGCCTTGAAGTGCTTAAGATGTGAGCATTTTCCTTCAGCAATAATTTTGATACTGGTTGTAGCACCAGATGATTATTGCAATGATAGATGAAGCAAATAATATGCAATGCCTGCTAAAATACCAACTAATAAGAAAATCTCCAAAGTCTTTTGTGTTCATTGTACCCTCTCACATGAGAGAAGATATGAAGTACTTGTCTGATGTTTAGAAAATAATTCAGTGGCTGCATCTACACATTCATTAACGTGCTTTTGCTAAGGTGAATTAAATTTTGTATCTCCATTGTATGGTACTAGACAAGATACATTAGTCTATTTTAATGTGCCTTAGCGAAAGTGCACAATTTTTTAGTGATGCTTTAATGCTCGTTAAAATATTCTAATGTGCATGAAAACGCATGTATAGATGCACCTGGTGGCTAGTTTACTTTTGCTAAGTTGATAATTTCCTTAAATATCAAAAGCATACATGTCAGCTATTTATGGGGTCTGTGTAAAGCAGGCACATCTGAGGGCTTAATTTATTTCCATATTTTCTGCAGAGATTGAATACTAATGATGTGCCTCAAAGACAGAAATCTGTGGTCCATAATGGAATTTACATAATTTATTTTCTGAAGAGGGGTTAGAATTGTAAAAGGATAAGGATTGGATGTTACATAAGCTCTCTGCTTCATTCAGATTGGAAAAAGTCCCATGTTGTCATTTGGTTTGTTTTAATAAAATTCCTCAGAAGTGGTAGTCATCCACTAAGAAATACTTTGCAGGTGTTCACGCTAGCGCACAGAATGACAGCTTAGCAAATCTCTGTTTCAGGCATGCCTTTGAATTGTTGAAGCCAGCACTTATGAAAACCGCTAGTGACTTTCAGGAATATAAGCTGTTGCTATCCTTCCGTTTTATTTTTACAAATCTATTTTGTACCTAGCACCACTCCATCCTATCAATTTAGAAGTTTATTTCCTTCCAGTTAAGAAGACCTTTTGCTGCTTAGTCCTCCCTGCTGAAAATGTGTTATGGTTGCTCTTTACAGTCAGCAAACTGAAATAACAATGTAAGGCATTGTTGTCCTTCTCACCCTTTCCCAATCTGCCATATGATTACACTATCCCCATTAGAATTATTTGTTTGTAAAGATCAGTGTTTTGTCTTTCAGGTTTTGCTGTGGCCCAGTGTATAAACCAGCATAATCCATCTCCACTTTCATCACCATCTCCTTCCAGTGGCAGTGGGAGTACTGGACGGTGTGATTCAATTACAGCCAGCTCCACTTCCACTCCCTCTGCAGCACAGAGTCCATCAGGTATTAAACCACTATTTTCAGCCCAGGCACCCAGGGGTAGGCAGTAGTATATTTTCTGAACTCTTACTGGATTAACTAAACAACAAAAAAATTGTTTCAAGTTGTTACCTTGGTCTTTTGCAATAGTGTCTACAAATGAAGTAAGTTAGGAAGTAGGTTTTGAAAGTCTTTTCAGCTTTGTGGACTGCTATGTTCAATGGATGTATTTTGTTGGCAGTGATTCTGAACACTAGTTGAATGATGCCCCCACCATTATCTATTCCTTACTGGTATGTCTATATGTTCTGTTCATTTTAAATGGGAATCATTGTGCATGCATTTACAAAGCATCAATGACATGGAGCCCCAGTGAACTTTAAACACAGCTGAATGTTTATGCCGAGACATTTGATTACTGTAAAGTGCCTGACTTATATAAAAGCAAGTAACACTTAAATGTTTATATCTTCTATGTTGTATTGTAACTATAGGGCACCTAAGATTCATTTTAGCACTGCCATTGTATCTAGGTTATTGCATTTTAAAATTTGGACAGTAATTGAGGATAGTTTACTTAAATAACTGAATCTCCTCAAATATCTAAGTCTTTGGTTGGTGGAGAGGAAGTTTGAAATTGTATGTTAATTGACCATTATAACTTGCTTTCAAACTACACAGTTGCAAACCAGAGTGCATTGCTGTTCAGTGAGATTTGTTGCATTCTAGTTGGAACTCTTCCATTATTCCGCTTATTGTCCAGTATTTGTAGAGCATTCCACAGTGCCTTGAATTCTGAACATACATTGTGTTGTGATCACTGACACATGCGAGTCAGAGAGCAGCTGAGACTGCAGCTGGGTAAAGTAAAAAGATCATCCTGAAATAATTTGCATTGAAATGCTTCTGTTTTGTCCCTGCTGCTGTCCCAGCCCCATTAGTTTTGAAAACTGGGGTGACTGTTACTTATTCTGACAATGGCCCTAATGCTTGAAACACTTGATGGTCCACCACTGCTTTGTTTGCCATCTAGGTGGCTATTTCATTTCTTGATATTAGGTATTCCATTATTGGCTTTCTTATAGATATTCAAATGGATTTACTATATTTACTTGAATCTAAGATATTTTTTCCCCACAAATCAACATGGGGGTGTGGAAAGCTCCTTGTCTTAGATTTATGTACAAAGTGGGGAGGTGGAGGGAGCAGGTTGCTGCTGTGGCTCTGACTCTGGCCCTCAGCCTGGGTCCAGGGCCAGAGTCAGACCCATGGCACCTACCTGTCCCATGCTCTACTTGCCCTGTGCAGCTTATTACGCCCACCCTTATTGTCAGGCGCAGCTTGGTTCCAGCTCACGCTGGGTTCCCTCCTAGGCAGGAGCACATGGCAACTCCATCCCCTGCCCAGCCAGTTAGCAGTACCAACCAACCTGCTGCGCCCCCTACCTAGGCAGTCAGCAGTGCCAATATTGCTGCAAGGGCTGCACTGCCTTGTGCTGTGCTCCAGGGAGGCAGAGCAACATGTGACAATAAGGTGGTAGGGGAAAAGAGGCAGAGACTGGGAGGAGGGCAGGGGCTGGAGGGAGGTTGGGGGTGGGGGTGCAGGTGGCAGGGTGGGCAGGAAGGCTACAGGGAGAAGTAGTGGGGGGGCAGAGAGCGAGGGAGTCACCTGACCCCACCCTGCTATCCACTTGGCCACTGCTT